GCAGGAATGTTGCTTTCTTGTTATATACTGGACAATGATTAATTAAAAAAAAAAGTTAGAGCCTGTCCCTGATAAAACATGGTTGCCACCACCAAGGAGTCTGTTTTCCACAAGATACAGCATCCCTTTGAACTCTTTCAGCCAGTGTTAAGATGCTTTGTTCGTGAAGTAGAAAGTTCCAGCCACTGTGATTGAAGCCTACCATTCTCAGAAAATACACAATGCTGCTTTTATGGCAATACTACTAGTTATGACACTGGTTGAGTTCAGTACCAATTTACTTTGTCACATCAGCTGTCCTGCATCACAGCAAGAAGAATGTCAAATTACCTATTTTCAGGAGATTTGGGAGTTTCACTACTGATCTAAGGTGACCTTTTCATAAGTTATTCCAAAAGGAAAATTTTAAAACTTAAGTTTCACTATCTGCATACTTATAGAGAACAAGCAGCATCTTAGGTAAGCTTTTTTCCCCAGGCAGAGGAGGTAATCCTAGGATGATAGTTCTTGATATGTGTGTCCATCACAAGACAGCCAGAACATGGAACATGAAAATTTCAATTATGCTATTCTGAGGAGGCTCACAAAAATTTATGGAGGAATGATGGTGGTCAAATGCCCCACACAAACTCTGAACAAGTGGTTACTTGATTCTTTCAAGACAATTATTTTAAGCAGACATACTTGTTGCTTCGATATGCATTAGCCTGAGGTAAGGAGAAGCAGCTGGATTCTACTCACAATGACCTTATTCCTTACCCACCCTCCCTCCTTACCCACCCTCCCTCCCCCAACAAAACATGAGAAAAGCTTAGGCTGCAAAACAAATCGAGAAAGTCTAGACTCTCAGTTAAGTTACACTGTATACAGGTACTGTGTCTTATAATACTACACTCTGAAACTAGCACTGAACCAGAAGACTTTTTTTCCCCCAGAGGATTCAATGCCTTAAATGTTAAGTTGTCCATCATAAAATATTAATTCAGAGATGACAGTGAATAGCCAAACCCTCTACCCCTTACTGACTAAATTTTCGTGAACAAAGAACAACACTGAGTAGTATGGAAGCAGCATTACCCCTGCATATGTCTCTTGAGAAACTAGTAGAATACTGCATCTATCTGCATTAAAAGAAAGGTAAACTGGGAAGGATTTAAGAATCTTTAAAATAATACAGCACAGAAGCTTTTAAGATCTCTTGGCTTGAAAAAAAGTTCAAATTGCTGTCTGAAGAGCTTAAAAAGAGAGGATCAGAAAAAAATTTCTACATTCATATACATCAACACCAGTTCAGTTACGATGTGGTTCCTTAGTCTAACATAAAGAAGCCAACTACATTCTAGTGAGAGAAAACTAAGTCAGCAAAGATAGCCCTGAAAGTAAGATGCGGATTTTTAAGAGTAATGGTTAGACTCACAAAGGTGTGCATCAGTGGAACAAACATTTAAAGACAGTAAAAGCTTGGCTATACCAATCACCAACACAGAGCATGTGAACTTCAGGGTGAAAGTGTACACTTACTCCATTACATTTAAACGAAACACAGAATTTAACAGTTCATGCATGTAAAGTCTCCAGTTTATCTGAATTACCTTATAAATTTGTAACTGAGCCGAACTGAGAGGCCAGCAAGTTCTGAAGTGTCAGAAGCAGTATGACTAGAACCCAAATTCCTTCTTCACGCTCAGCCTGAGTCCAAAGGCTTTGCTGTGCCTGCCTGTATTTCACTGTCGGTATATGGCTACACTGACCAGCTATATATATATATATATATCAAAGCTTATGTAACACCGATACAGCTTTTCTGTTCCATGGATGATAGGGAAAACCTGTGGCGAAAATTCTCTCCTCTATTTTGGCCTCTTATGCTTTTACAGTAGTACTATCCAAATAAAATTTATTTTTAAAATGGTTAATTCACCTCTGTATTCTTGTTTCCTACCACATGTCAACATTTTATTTCCATCTTTACCTCAAGGTAAAACAATGTACGATTTGCAGCATTAAACCTTTTCACTAGCTAACCAGAAAAAAGGGAGAGTTAAGTTTCATCTATGTACTCAAAAGAAAAAAATATTGAGGGGTTGGGGTTTTTTTTGGCCTAAAGTCATTAAAGATAAAAAACATACCAAATTGTTGAAGGGAGTACACAGCATCCTGCATGTGGATCCAAAATCGGAGTTTTCCAAGAGATATTTTGTCATATGACACTGTAAGAGGTAGCTCCGTTGTTGAACGATTTATAACCTGTATTTCAAAAAGATATAGTTTCATTTTTAATAGCAGAAAAGTTGCATCGATGATTTCCATTCTTTTTTTTTTTTTTTTTTTTTAATAAAGGACAGTGATTATATCACACTATGATTTAATCACACAATTTTAAGAGGTCAGTTTGTTTTTTGAAAGGGAGTAAGGTCTTAGACTTCTACACTATGCCTGAAGTCTGGGGTTTTTTTTCCCCCAGAAATGTTAAATTAGCAGTTTGTTCTGATCAAGTTCTTCTAGCAACCTCACTGTTATTGTATACAAATTCCTCTGAGGCATTTACATAAAGTTCCCTCTGCTGGTCTCAACTCAAGTGGGGAAAGTGTGCTTAAGGTAAGTCTCTCTTTTGACAGTTCTCTGAATGTATATGCTCAGAATACCTAAACTAGAAGATTTAAAAAAAAAAAAAAAAAAAAAGGAAAAAAAATCCTATCCCAAAGGCCACAGTCAGAACTTTATTAAATTGAGGCTGTTTTTGAGAGAAATTAAAGTTACAACAACTCATACCAAAACAAAATGTGGGGAAGCAAGATGATCCTACTTGCTCGGACTGGTGAAAACACCACAGCTAAAGCTAAGCAAGCTACCCGACCTGCAAAACTCGTGTAATGGGGCATCACAGAAATCTTCCTGCTCCAAGAGAAATAAATTTCAGCTAATCCTCCTGTATCATCTACACTTTAGTTATGATGAGAACTACCTGGGGCCAGCTTAAGCTGGGGTGGGGGGAAGTCTTAAATTGCCTCAGCTCCTGCATGATAGATGACTGCCTCTGAAATAAGTTTAAAACAAAGAAAAAAAATTGTCCTCACAGATGTTAGAATTCTCTGCAGCTACCTCGGTACAAGTTCAGGCACTATGTTTTAAACTTTTATGGATAGCTCAAGACTACAGACAAGAAGGCACTCTGAAATGCAACAGTTAAAGATCTATTGCTCCTGGCTCCTAATTACTACCCAATCATAATTCCCCTCTTAGAACTGCCACTCTACATTGTATCCTTTTCTACAGTAATTAGTTAGCTGACACCTATCTGAGATGAACAGGCTTCTTCTGATCCTTATGTTACACAACATCATTTTAGCCTCCCCACGTATCTGTCAGGTGTGAACTGGGCATTACGTTCACTCTCCCATTCACTCCTTCCTCCAGTGAGTACAAACAGTTCTCAATCTCACCGCCCTCAGGACACCCTATAAGCTTTTCAGACAGTGGCAGAACATGCATGCATGCAAGGGAGAGAAAAGGAAGCTGAGAAAGTTTTATAAATACAGCAGGAAGAATGCTTGAGAAACTAGAATGGTGCCAGGGATCTCTGAACTGTCTGGGAAAAAAACAAACCAACAACAAAACAGGGTGAAAACAGCGTGGTTAGAGTTGATGGTAGAGAATGCTGGTGAGATTCTACAGCTGTTTACCAAAAGCTACATAAATATCTTGCAGGCATCTTCTTTTTAAAGGATGCCTGTAATCTCTCCATTCTCATTCCAATTTCTCAGTCAATCCAAAGATAGCATTCAACATTTCTGGGAGAAAAGGAAAAGAAATTTTATCTGTGCAGTACAGATAGAAAACAAAAATTTTGCAAATGCATGGGTAAGTAACATGCAGCAAGTGCACTCTACACAGACAAAACACTATTAAGGAGTTAGGGGTAGTGTAGGGAGAAAATTGGATGGTAGTACAAGACAGAGATAGAAGCTCTTCAACACCAAAAGCAAATTAAATGAACATATAAGGACTGGAAGAATGAACTTTCTCAATGAACAATTAAAAGTCCACAAGTGCTGCCTCACAACCTAGTTGAGTGTGATGGTTGCTAAGCCTTCAAAAACTAGTCACCAAAGTTACCAAACCTCTGCAATACAACCTACTCTTGTAGTGCTGCCTCAGAACATCACATATTGCTTCTAGCACTCTACTTTATCAGTACTACAAAACAGTGTGTAAACAGAGCAACTAAGTTCAGCAGTATGAATTTTAAGGTTTCCTCCTTATTAAATCAGAATCCTGTGCAATCCTCAAACCCCTAGCATTGGCAAGGCCATAAGGAACACATAACCTCCAGACTACAGTACTTACCATAGAAGACCTACATCTGGGTCATAATAATAGTCAGTTCAAAACCTACATAGCCTAGCACAAACAGGGAAAATCCATCTTCAGCTGCATGACTTCAGGTCGGGCATACCAGACAGCGTCTATGACCCTATTTACAGTCAAATGCCGACCCTGCTCCCCAAAAGCTGTATCACCTTCTGCCCTTATTCTTTCCTGCTCTTCACTTACCCCTCATTATCTCACAGTATGCATACTATTAGACCACTCTTTCTGCAGGGCTTCTGAGCAGTTTGGCAAGTCGCTACTGAGCGGTCACATAAGCCGGTGCTGAAGGGGAAGTTTGCTAGTTTTGATGGAATAGACTTTGCAGCACTTAGGATCTTTAATGACTTTAAGGCAGTGAGTTACAACAGCATTAACCATGACATGCGTGACAACCGTAGGAACGTTACTAATAACATGAGAATGCTAAGTTTACTTGTAAACAGGGTACATTACTTGACCAGTTAGAAGTTCATATGAATGTACTGAACTGAATGAGCTGTGGTAAGAAACTTAAGACAAAGGACAATGACCACTGACAAAGACATCGCAAAAGTGTATCTCAAGAAATACTGGACAAAACCATCTGCTACCAACATTTGTAACAAACAATCAGGAGTTTATTTTGCTGAACAAGCGTGGGGTGGAGGGGACACAAGTTCTTAAAGAAGATTCTCCCCAACACTAAGTAACAAAATTCTTTGTCTGAGCTAAAGTTAATGAATTGGAAAGACAATTTAGAAGGTCTATGGAAAGTTTACATCTACCAAGACTTCCGTCTAGAAGATGCTGAATCCAGACATACTCATTTAACAGTTTTGAGACATTCCCCAAGACTTCTCAGTAACTCTGATGGCTAAATTCCAGTCAGTGCAACTAAAAAGAACTGAAGGGCTTAACTAAGAGCTGCTAAGATGAATGTGGTTTAGATGCAGGGGACTGCCACATGTAACTTCTAGTAAAGGAACTGCATCATTTCCCACAAGAGAAGAGTTGAGCAAAAACTGAATACAGAAAACTCTATTTAAACATATAAAACACCCCCCCCACTTTTTTTTTTTTTTTTTAACTGCAGGGGTGACTGAACACTAGAACAGGTTGCCCAGAGAGGCTATGACATCTCCATCCTCGGATATATCCAAAACCCAACTGGAGAAGGTCCCAAGCAACATGCTCTAGCTGACCCTACTCTGAGCAGGGGCGCTGGACTAGCAATCTCCAGAAATCTCATCCAACTTCATCCTTCTGTAATTCCATTATTGAAGTTTCTAAGTCCTCATTTGTTTGAGTGCACAAAATCACTGGATGTACTGCAACACCAAACTTTCAGGTGCTCAAGTTACTCTAACATGGTAGAGAGCACCACCAGAAAATTTAACCATGAGTGAATTTTTTGGAGACAATAGCTACTGGCTTATCTCAGCGTAGCTCCAGTATCAGCTGTGTTCAGTATGCTCACTTCCCTAGAAGATATCAGAAGCTGCTCTGGGGTCCTAACACAACTTCTTCAGCTTAGCGAGTCAAATTGCTCATGAGACTGCTCCCACCACAGCTGGTGCTGCAGTGATGTCCTCCATATCCACCCAGAAGGAAGAAGCAATGGAATCCAAATATTGTCTGGTGGAATAGAAGTGAGTGCTTGGCAAATACTTCTGCCAGAGGGGAGTCTCAAAACCCAGATCCACCCTCTGCAGTTACCACAGTTGACCACGTAAGTTAAACAGTCACTGATAGAGTCCTTTTGTGAATTTATACTTTTTCATTACAGCAAGCAACCTGTGACAAAATCTTAATTAAAACAACATTGAAGATTACTGTTAAAACTGTTAAATGTAATTAAAGGTATTCTATTACTCACCATCAAATCTTTCACTCTGTTGCTTAGCTGATCAATAAATAATATTGGAAGGTAATGCACTGTCTTCCCCAACTGAACCCTAGGATGTTTAAACATGGATTTTATATGACTGTAGTGATCTAAAAAGAAAACTACTTTTATTCAAATTAGCACTCATTCATCACTTTCAGATCTACCCGTGTTGATATTTCCCACCACCTGTTCAGGCTTTTAACACACAGCAAGAAAGAAGCCACTAGCCTAGAGTCTTTCACTGAGAGATGTCTGTATAAAAAAATCAGGCATGTCATATTTCTCCTTTTAAGTTTGTTTTTACTTTTCTGTAGACAGACAGATTAAGCAAAAAAAAAAAAAAAAAAAAAGACAAATGAAATTGATTGTGATGATGCTGAAGCTGTTGCATGACCAAGGGTAGAGGAAATTAAAAAGTTTGTTGAAGAGAAACGTGCTGAAGTTTACCACCATATATTTGTATCCTTTGTCTCAAGTATCCCTCTCCTACTGCAACAATGACAACTCTCCACCATCTCCCCCACCCCTCTGCACCCCCAATGATATCTATCAGGTCAGCAACAGCACATGCTCTAGCTAGCATGGGACTATGAACACGATGGCTGGTACGCATGCAGGAAGGCTAGATACTACTGGAGAGAGTGCACAAGGAGCAGAAATCTTCTCTGCCTTCTCCTCAACAGCAGCTCTCTTTTGGATTTCTCTGCCACCTCACCAACCTGCATGAAACCAACAGAAACTTCCCAGCCTTTGAGCCCTCTACAAAATTGACCACTGGAAAGTTATTTAGTAGATTATGACTGTATGCAATTGCTTTGTCAGTATCTTAGAAAAGTATTTAGCCTAATGCCCTAAGAAGGACAAATTCTTCAAGTTCTTCACTAGAAAGGCAGTTATCTACACTGTGATGTCCTTGGTAAAAGTCTATGGAACTAGAATAATGGACCTTTTGAAAGCCTGAAAGTTGGATTTTAGTTGTTCACAAAAGAAAGAAGTCTCCATGCATGCTGAGAAAGACTGCATACTAAATATACAATGGGCAACAGTAATATAGAAAAGTACTAAATTGAGGCTCAGAAATACTGCTTGGTTATTTAACTGAAGAGGTTTAGATTTCTACAACTACAATTAAATCTACTATTAGAGGAGGTAATTGCAGCAGGCTATTTCATATCCAAACTATTTCCTGTATAATGCAATGACAAAACAGCACTGATGCATATCTAAACATGACCAGAATAAATATCCTTGTTCATCAACCCCAGTCCAACCCCTTCTTGTTATGGGCCTATCTTATGAGTTACTGAGTTTATCTATTCTGGCTGGGAAGCTATCCCAGAACCCCAGGGTCTGCTGATCAAGCAACTACTTGTGGATTTAAGAGGATACTTGTAGAGAAAGGCATCAACATACAGCAGCACAAGCCAATACAGCACTATTTGTATGGTTAACACTGGAAGTAATTTAAGCAAGCTGTGAACAGAAGCTACTGCCTGTATTTAGTGGCCTAGAAACCTATCCCTGTTTTTTAGTATTTTCTTGAGAAAATGACATAATGTAGGAACACACGTTGTCAAAGTAAAATAAAGCCAGTCATAAAGGGAGAAAAAAGATGTCACAGGAGATCAGCTGTGCCTCTTCAGCACTTGCAGTTTGTACAGATACTTTGCAGATGAAGGGTAACTGGAAAGGTCAAGGGACAGTACTTGCTTTAAAGGCCAGAAGTATGATTTGAGAACAAGGGGGTATGAAGTCTGCTGTAGCATTTTTCTTGGGTCTTTGTAGTTCTGCTTTGTCTTACTATGATAACTCCATACAAAAAAGTATTCTAAACTCTGAGCTGCCCAGGAACAAGATTATCTCCAGGAAGGTTTTCTAGTACATAATAACTTACTGTCACTACTGAAATGCAAGCATTAAGAGTTATCTATTCTTGTCTCCTAAGTGCCAGTTTAAACAGAAAATACTAAAGGAGGCCAGGGACGATTTTTGAAGAAATGTGCAGCAAGTTTATAATAACAAATCTAGCAAAATTAAGTCATCGACTTACATCTTCATGTAACGGTGAACATCAGCAGGGAGGGACGATCCATCAAACACAAAATCTTCCACCATGACATTTAAGGTTAATCTTGACCTCCAGTGAGAGACAGGTTCATCTAGAGCATTGGTCTGTTTTTCTGCTTCAATTTGCTTTAAAAATACAATAAACATACATACTGCTAAACAATACAGAATTTTGAACAGGGTAATACTCGTGACTCACGGAACCTATGGAGTCATTAACTGTATCACAAAACAGAAGCCCACTAAGAAACATTTCACCTTAATTTTGACCAGACCAAGTATTTTGCTCAAATATGACAGAATGGATTGTAAAGACCCACCATAATCTGACACTGAAAAACTTCAGTGCCCATTCACAGCCTTGTTCATCAAGAACAAATATTCAGCTGATTAATCTTAATACCTTAGAAGTGTGGATACTAGCCAGAAAAAGTCACTTTGAAATAAGGACCGTAGAGCAATTAGATGTTACTTCAAAACAGTCAAAAGGATGTGGATATCAACCATATTAACCATTTTTGGGAGTAAAAAGATTAGACCATTTGTTTTGAACTTCTGAGCTTCCAAACGCTGTGTCAAGCAGCACTGAAACTGAGTACAACCTCAGCTTTCAGTAGATGCTTATCCCCAGAGCATTCTGCTTGGTTTTTTTCGGACAAACACCACCTGTTCTGACTTCTAGTGCTGGACTCTAGCCTCAACTCGTTTTCAACTTTATTCTGACAGGATTTAGAAACAGCACTGCTGGCTACAGGTATATTTCAGATTCCAAAGAATAACAGAGTGAAATTCTCAAGCTCCACGAAATATGAGGCACAACAGCCATTCAAAAGTATTTCATTAAATAACACCACATTTTTTCACCCCCAGGGAGTAATCATAGCATTTGTCAAAGGATACAATCTTATTCTCTTGAACTGAGGTGGAAAGTAAGAACATCCTAAAGGACAAGAAGCAATTTGACATTGGTCACTCACCAATGTCAAAATCAAGTTCAGATCTCTGTTTTATAAAAGCAAAGCATATTATTTCACAGGAATCCAATTCACTCTAGAAAGCATCATGCTGTTACAGAACAATAGATTATTTCTACCAAAAGCAATGATTCCTTAAAGTAATTAGCATTAACTAGGGAAGTGTTTTAATAGCAGCCAGTGTTATAGAGGGCTCTACCTCTGCTGTGCTGAGTGGTCTGCTATTAGTGTGCAGGCTGATAATCAAGAAGAGGGGTTTTGATTTTCTTTTTCCCCTAATATCACCACTGGTGTAAAGATGCAAGCACAGCAGATGCTAACACTAGAAGTGTCTATAAAAGAAATTACTTTTTTTGCAGTTGTTCACCTCTAGATAGAAAAACCACCTACCTGTGTGGCTGACTCTCCAGTGAGCAAATTAATCTCTTCTGGTTTAGGGACCATGTACGTGGTCAGAGGACTTACTATATGCACTTGCTTACCATCATGCCAAGGCAAAATGCCAGCATGATGAAGAAATATATATGCATACAATGTGCCATTATTTCGGGTTTTCTTTGGTACAGAGACATTCACTGTCCTAAAATACAAAATAAATACATTATGAGATGACATAGCACATGCTGAAATATTTTGCTTAACATATACGGATCACTGAAGATGTTCTGGAAGCAAACAAAAAAAGAGACATTTGGGTTACCTGGCACACAACAATTAGTTCTGGTTCATATGCCCTAATGAGCCATGGCTGGATGGGATCAATTCATATACTCCAGTATGTATCACAATGTTTGCATTTCCAAAGTTTTACTATTACTTTCAAATACTTTGTCCAATTCATACTTTATTACCCTAGATAACACAGGACTGCATCATCAGTTCTTTTGTTGTTTTCCCCTGCCGATAGGTCATAGGGCCAAAATTATCACAGCACTTGTAGAAAATAGCCTTGCATGTGCTGAATATGTATCACAGATTGTACACGACACGAAGTTTAAAAAGAAAATCACAAATTTTGCCAAGCACTTTGCATTAATAAAAGATCTTCTCAGCTATGGCATGCAAAGCACAGAACTCTAGACAGGCGACCCAAACTTGTCACTCACCTTGTGTTAGCCAAGAAATCATCCTACTTGCTACCTTGCATAATGCCTCCTCTATTCCTGTGAATTTGCTCAGGTTATTTTGCTCTGCATACTTTCAATGGCTTAGCAGACTCAGTAAAACAATTCTTATATTTTCAGGTCTGCCAGAGATGAAGCTTAATATGACCTAAGCTGCAGACCAACGTGTTCTTTAATTATAGAAGACACAGAACATGAAAGAACCTGGGAGACTCTGCAACAACACAGTCAAGAATACGGTGACTATTTTAAACAAAAAAAAAGCGCGAGGCAGCAAACATGAAGCACAAAACAAGTAGTTCTAATAATTTCAGTTGTATAGAGGCATACGTAGACTATAGCATTATACTCAGAAATTTGCCTAAGGACACAATCTTTTTCCGTCTTAGCACCAACATCCCTTTAGAAGATCTCGAAGCTCTAAACTACCAGAAAAAGAAGGTTTACTTTCACGATTATTAGCACTGAAACAGTTACAGAAAAGCACGTCGCTAAAACACAGGAAAAGAGAACACGGTTTGACTTCCCAGTCCTATTCCAGGTCTGAAGCCATGGCTATTAAGAACAAAACATGCAGCCAGTAGACCGGCTACGCATGTTATTACAGGAAAGGCTCAAGCACTTCCAGGCACTTTGACTTAGATTGTCACAACGGAAAGTCATTTTTACTATTACGAGCAAAGCACACTTTTGTAAAACATTTGCCTATATGGCTGAAAACAGTACGCTGATCCAAACTAAACAACACTTAAGCTTAGCGCATCATGCATACGTTACTGATCTAGCACAGCTAGCAAGATGAATGTTTAGAGTAGAATCTGAAAATTAAGATAGACAATATTGGACAGCGTTCAAGATTTGTAAAATGTGCAGGAGAGAAACAAGCATTTCTGTATTTACTAGTATAGCTTTGTTTTGCAAGCTTTGTTTCTTGCAACTATGAGATGATTTTCAATATAAGGAAAGTTTGTCTAAGAGCCTATTCCTCAGCGTCAGGTGAACTTAGCACACTATTTCCATCAAGGCAGGCACTTTGCCAATGTTTAATTTATGAAATAGTCTAGGAACCCTTAACTAAAAAGAAAAGTACTGGTTTTATTAACAGCAGCGCTTTGTCCTCAACTCTAAGGCTGAAATGCAACTAACATCTTTCCTGCCTTAATGTGGCAAATATGGTTATTGGTGTATGAAAACAAGTGTGAACTGAAGAGCCTGTAACGCATGCAGAAACAGCTTTAACCCCAAAAGAAAGAATGCAAGGACAACTCCTCTACTCTTTCAACACAACTACCGTGAACAGTCTACCTTGTTTCATGCATACTTCCATACGTGTAACTACTAGTTAGGATGCATACTTCAGAATTAAAGAAAGAACTCATGGTTTGGATACTTACCTTTCAAATTTGGACTCAATGTCAAAATCCTCCACATTCAAAACCAGATCTATATTACTCTCAGCACCAATGTTTGACCGTGTGGTAGTATACACGCTTAACTGAAATCAAAACACAGCGCAGAGAAATCAGAGTACAGAAATATTAAATTCATGCATCAGTACGCTTAGGGTACAGGCCTGTATTTCAGCTTCGCTAGTTTCCCCAGTCACACGACAGTTATATACGCTGGGGAAGAAAACAACGTACTCAAAAGATAGCTTAACGCCGCTTTCAGCTACCCCTTCCCTCCTTTTGGGGGCAGAAGCACATCGTAAGGCAGCCCCCAGGCCCGTTTTAACAGGAGGACCTATTCTCCCAAGTTGAAGTCGGAGATTTCTAAGCGGGTC